AAATAAATAAAGTAAATCCTGGTTACTGAACTTGGCAAAGCATTTTTGAGATACATGGATGAAAAGCACCTGTTTGCTGAGTGATATTATTATCTTCATTACTATTATTATTAACAACATGTCTGTTATAAATATTGGTTACACCAGGTGTAGGTGAGTGGTTTTGTTCCTCCTGTTGGGGATGACCTGGTTTGTGTTCACCTTTGGATGGTCAGAGTCCAGAAGGGATTCTTTTATTTTTCTGCCGGAAACCAAAGTCCAATAATTAACACGCAAACCAATGAGCAAGCAAATATCTGAAACACCCAGAGGGCAGGTGCTGCTTTTCCCCTCAGCTCCTCAGCACTCGCCCCTGCTGCCCCGCCCAGTTTGCAGAATTCAAGTTTACACCAGTGCCACCACACTAAAATACGTTTTGCTAGAAAACTCCGGAGCAGGTATTCAACCTTCCTGCTCATGCACAAACAGCAGGCATTTCACTTCAGTAAAAAAAAAAAAAAATTAAAAGGAAAAGAAAAAAAAAGTGAACCGTGCCAAATCCTGCAAACGCCTTCCTAAAGTCCTGCTCTCATCTGTGTGACAGGGTCCCAATGCCATGACTGGGAAGGACGGCTGCAAGGCTTTCCACGCCCAACTTCTCTGCCTCCCTTGCAAATTCTCTGCTCCAGCTGCCCAGCTGTATCTTTATTCAGAGACTGTGCTAAACATAACTCTACCCTTTCCCTAATGTGACCCTGAAGCCTGTCGTTTACCACAACTGAACCAGAGGGTGGAAATACTACACCTTTGAAAATTCTCTTGAAACAGCATTTTTTTTTAATCGTATCTCTCAACAGAGTTCCTTTTGTGTGTTCTGTAGGTTACCCTGCTCCCAACCATACCAGCACCTAAAATTGCTTTCTGAGACTTGAATGTATTGCTGGCAAGACAATCAATTCAAGTGGTAAGGTGTATAGTATTTAGAGATAAAGATATACATATTTAAAAAAACCCAATAATAGTAAATTCCTGTAATATGTCTAGTCTGATATGAAAGCTCTCCCTCTACAGAGAGACATCTGCTGTGATTACCTTAGAAAATATTAAAAAAAAACCACACACAAAAAATAACTTTCTCTGTGAGAAATAAAAATAAATCCTAGTGCAAATATAAAGCTCTGTAAACCTGGTCCTATGAGAATCTATGGTTAGTAAACGGCAGTTAAAGCAGGTTTATCCTCTCACAGAGAGAGCTCACATCATGGTTTCCACAATGATATGAGTTGGCTTGATCAATCCACCATTCGAAGTTCCATTGGGGCAGAAGGGGGTGCCACTCTCTGTTTCTTTGGACCACCGATTCACTTCCTTGGGGGCAGCCACTGCTTTTATCCTCTGAAAGAAAAAAAAGAAGAAAAGCAAAGGTTAGAAGACCAAGTGGCCCCCCTGCATTGCCACGTGCAGGGTGGAGGACATGGCAAGCCAAGGACAGGGTTGGTGGCCAACAGAGACGTGTGTATGCCACGTGGCTCTGCAAGGACGGGGGACCCGGGGCAGAGCGCCGTGCTCAATTTTGCTCAGCTGCAGAGCCTGACTTGATGCAGGCAGGTCAGACATGAGAGGGCATTCACAGCGTTAGGCAGCACCCTGCACGTTGGGCTTTCAGTGCTGCAGCTGCTGCTCAAATGATGTGCGTTCTCCTTCCTCATTTAGAAACAACTCTGCCTTTTAGCCCAGCCGTTCATTGCCAAGTGGCAACTTCTCTCCTACATCTCAGTACACAAAGGAAGAACTAAATGGCATCTGACCAGTGTTTACTCTCTTCCCTTCCTAACATGGTCTTTGTGGAGTGTTTTGGCTACTTTTAGACTTGTCTCTCAACAGATGGTGACAATGTAGGCAGGAAAATAAACACTCATGAAAATGCTCTGGCCACAGCTGAAAAAGACCATTAACACTTGGAGGGAAACAAATGCAAGTGTTTGTTCTCTGGGAAATGTTCCTTTTTTATTCTATTCTCTCTTTTTTCCTAACCCAAAGTGTCCCACTTTCTCCTCCAAGAACACCCTGGGATGCATTTAAGATCATCTCATTAGGCAAAACCAAAACTAATCTGAAACCTTAGAAAAGGACTGCTAAGATTCATGCTTGCACAGTCTCTAAAAACTTTACACTGGAAGGAAAACAGATCAGGGGAACCTACACTGAACCGTGATTTTTTTTGAGCTTGCCTGCATTATCCAAACCCAAGAGAATCTGCACTGTGAAGTCTGAATCTGACCCAAAGTTTTAAAAAGATGAGGACAATCTGGATCCTCTGTTTTGATTTGCGTCATTAGGAATAAAAAAAATAAATTAAAAAAGCTAGAAAGTGAAGCCCACTGGCAGGAGGGTTTGACTTTTATTCAGTCCCCCAGAGTGAAGGCCATGCCTGAGCGCCACAGAATCCACAGGTGGAGTCAAATTTCCCTGAAATTCAATGAGCTGTTACATAGCTCAGTTTGACTCAGGTCTCTCTATCTCTCTACCTC